TCTCCTGTAAGAGGAGAGGAGAGGAGAGGAGAGGAGAGGAGAGTGGGCATGAGGCTCTCAGCCCCAGAGGCCCACACCCCGCAGCGTCCCCTGGGCTGAGCTGAAGGTCATGGCCAGGCTGCTCCCTGGTTGCTGGGCCTGAGCCTGGGGGCAGCACCTGTGCAGAGTGTGAGGAGGGGGAGCAGGAGGGTCCAGGCCATGGTGAGGCTGCCAGGCTCTGCTCTGAGCCCTCAGCTGGGGTGTGGTCTTCAAGGATCTTCACCCCTGGGTGGGCGGGGCCTCATGCAAATCCACTTCCTTCCTCCTGGGCCTCAGGGGTGTCTCCCTGCTGAGCAGCACAGGGCTCAGTGGAGGAGGCTGTGCCAGGGCTCCATGCACAGGCCTGAGCCAGGTTCCCAGAGCGCCCTGTGCTGTCCAGGTACAAAGGTCTGTCCGGCTGGTGTGGCCCGATGTTGGAGCATCGACCATGAACCAGGAGGTCCCAGGCCCTGTTGGGGGCTGTATCCCCTGTAGGCGGGTTGCAGGAGGCTGCCAATCAGTGATTCTCTCATCATTGATGTTTCTATCTGTCTCTTCCTCTCCCTTCCTCTGTCTGAAATTCATAAAACATATTTAAAAAAATAAAAAAGAACCTTCTGGCCTATGACCCCGCAGCAGTCCCTCAGGGCGGGGCTGGGGGGCTGAGAGGAGCCTGTGGGGACAGTGGTCATGCTGGGGTGGGAGAGGCCAGGATCCCATGGCCAGAGGCAGAGCAATTGCTCATGGGCCTCTCAGGCGACCTTGGTATTGACTGTTTTAGGAAGAAATAAGAGAAATCTTTGAGACCCGAGGCCAGGCCAGAATTCTTTGATGACATCAGAAGCACAATTCCCGAAAGAAACGATCAGTACATTGACACTCATGGAAAACAGCCTCCTTGGCTTTGCAAAGTTTTCTAAAGAAACAGGCAGCAGAGAGAAGAGAAGTTGGTGTTAACAACACATCCAATGAGTGACCAGTGCAGAGAGGACAGGAGGAATCATGAAATTTAGCCAAAGAATCACAGCCCAGGAGGACACAGGCAGATCCCAAGAGCAGGCGCATCAGAAAGAGGGTGTGTGATGGCCATGCGCACAGGGGAGGGCGTCCATCCTCAGCTGTTAGGGAAACACAAGGAAACCACAGCGAGACACGACCACACATGGGTCAGGGGCTCCCGTGACACAGGGACCCCGGAGCCGGCAGGGGTGGGAGGAAGGGAGGCGCGTGCAGGGACGGTGGGAACGGGAAAGGCTCGGTGAGAACGGGAAAGGCTCGGTGACTGTGGGAAGGCGCCTCACAGCCTCTCGGGGACTGAGACTCGCACTCAGCACACAGCCCAGCAGCTGTGCTCCGGGCACTCATTTCAGAGGGAGGCCTGTGCTCACAGGGACACTGTGCACAGAGGTCATGGCCCC